GTTTGGTTATTTTAGTTATCTAGATTCATTTGGTGGGTAAATATTTGATGTATTTTGCTCTTTACTCAATCCTGCACTTTCTAGTTTGTGCTATTTTTAATTAAATTTACATTTGTGTTTGTTTAGTATTAACTTTAGTGATAGTTCCTAATCAGACTGATCTTATTCAAACTGAGCTGTATTGGAAGTTGTCCGATGTCCCTCAGCTTTCTCCACTGGGTTCCGTAAATCATGTCAACAGTCATCATTGGATTTGACTACATCAGTGAGGTTTGATACACCAGACTGGGGAGCAGTAAAGACATGAACCCACCTCAGGCTGCGGGGTCTGGAGAGCATCGCCCCATCTGAGGTCAACAGGAAGGACGAAGTGTCTCCCAGGTTCTCCCACCGTGCCTCAGTTCAGCTGCGGACACCTCCGAGCAGCGGTGGGAGCATCGTGACTCCTGCAGGTTGGCCCGACTGTCCTCTCTCTGTGTGCTGCCTTCTCCTGGAGCAGGCCGCAGAATGTAGTCTGTACTTATCATGATCTTCTCAGCATGTGGCAGCTCTACAGCCACAGATTCCTTGCTTCTTAAACCAAAATCTACACGATGTGAGGTCGTAAGCGAAACCCTGGCACATTTTCTGTCACGTTTCTTTATTTGGACATTATTGTAGGCTAGTGTACTCTGCTACTGTATATATACTTTTAACTTTTGGAGATAAACCAAAGATTAGACACAGAAAGTTTCTTATTTATTTGTGCGTAAACGCCGCCACGTCCGTCAAAGCATGACGCGCTGTGCGTTCCTCACTGAAAGCTGGGTAAGTTTTCGGAGGCGCCGAGGAGCTCCTGTTGGACGGCGGCTTTGGCATCTGCGGGAGCCTGCTGGATAGTAAAACCACTATCTGTCGCTTCAAGGACGACCGGTTTGGAGAGTGTCTGTAGTTGCGCTGTCCTCGCCGTGGTGAGTCTACACCCAGACCTCTTTGTAGTGATTATACGGTAGAAACAATGTTTTTATGCAACACGAGTGCCATAAAGGACTGGAGCTATTTCTTGTCTCAGATTTTGCCACTGATCAATAAAACTGCAGGGTTGGTCGACATCGACAAAGCGGAGGCTGTGACCACCACTGTGGTGACAGCTCTGCAGCCTGACGGCGCCATGAGCGCGAGCAAGCCGCCTCTCAACTCCAACCATACCTCGGGCATGGAGCACATATTTCAGTCCTCTTACTCGGAGAGTGACCTGCTGTACACGGACTACCGGACGCCTGCGCGGGACTCCATCCCGCTGCCAAAAGCGGTGCTCTACCTGGTCATGGCAGCGCTGGTGGTGGTGGCTGTGGCATACGCGATAGTTGGGCACCTGGTCAAAGATGTGGTTAACGACTTTGTGGGTATGTGACCCCGATGTGCGTGCTTGTGTGTGCGCGTGTACACCCCCCCTGGGATTGCTAAAGGAGCACTGAAAGAACGGGAGTTGCTGTGAAGTACAGGTTCTAAAAGTTCCATCAGTTCTTTGATTGGAACAGTTAATTAATCATATGATACACCATTACACTGGAGTGACTTGTAGTTAAATATTAGTAAACTGACCTTGTTCTAACTTTGTATTTGGACTCCACAAACGCCATTCAAGGGTCTTTCCTGGAGCTCACTTTGAGTCACTGTTTCCATAAAAGTGCTCTGTGAACAAACACAGGTTCCAAACATCTTAATAAATATATGAACAAAGCTTTTCTGAAACAGCAACAGACATTATTTATTAATTGAGTAGGTTATGCAATGATATTTATTTGATGGATGTAGCTGGTAAACATCAGAGAGTATTTTGCTGTCCCTCTGAAAAAAAAGTAATGCAGATGTCCAGTAGCACTGCTCTGCTATCAGCCGGTGACCTTGTGAAGGGGACATCCTGACAAACTACACTTTCAGCAAGTGTCTGTAAGAGAAATGGGGAGGACGTTGGCAGTTATTTTTGAAGCGCTTCCTGTGAGTAATACATAATGAATGAATGAAATAATGAGGTTATTTTTTAGGACACAGTGTCTTCTCATTGTGCTGACCTGACTTGATAGTCAGCTTATCGCATAAGGTGATTTAAGGCTAAGGTGCTTCTGAGGGGAACGCAGAGGGCCCTCGGCCACCAGGGGTCACAAGTGAATAGTTGTGATATATGTTGTTTTCATAATTCAGCTGTTGTCATAAGTAAAGTTTTTAAAGAGTCACCCCTTGAATTTTTATCATTCAAATCTAGGGGAATGTTCTACCAAACTGAGGTGCTACAACAAAATTTGGAATTACAGCACTAAATATTTCACACCTTGGCATTTGTTGGCATTGGCGCACATTTTTGGATTAGGACAACAACTTGGTTGGGTTGGTATATCAATGAAAGTTTTGGATTTGGATGCATCAGACATTTTGACGCTGACAAACCAACTGCTACGAGGTTTGACATATGACAAGCCATTTTAGACAGTATACCACTGCTGGGGATTATCACACCATTTACTTGTGTTCAAATGATTTGTGAATCTGCTTTCCTGCTCTGTCTTTATCATCTCATGTGACACAGAGGGAGTCTATGTGTGGCGTCTCATGCATGTTCTCTTGCTCACTGCATATAGGTGGAAGCAGGTCGATTGTGACCGAAGGTGACAGCGGTGAAACCAGTGAACCAGGTAAAGAACAACACTCACGAGTCACAGTCTGCAGCACTTAGCTTGGCCACAGAAATGCCCTGAGCTTTCTGCTCCTCTGGTCAGTCTGCCTGCCTTCCCCTCACCTGACCCTCCCACCTTCATATGAAAACTCACACATATACATTTGCACTAACACACAGACGGCACCATGTCTGGGCTCCTGGGCACTTTGCTGGGGTGTAAATGTGGAGGATGCCTGTTTTGCAACTGGAGGACACTGTCGAGTCTCCTGGTCAAAGCAGGATGCTTCACTCTCCTGACACACTGCAGCATCAAAAAGTAAAACAGCCTGTCGTGTTATGGCCCGTATATTTAAAAAAAAAAAGGGAAAAATCTTCATTAAACTGCACGCAGAATAATTTCCCCAGCATTGTCTCATTTTCTACAAAGAAAAACGCATGCCATCAAATAATAAAAAAGGTGGTATAATCAAATGTTTAATATGTATTTGATGGTGCGTCCTTTCTGCACAAAGTCAATTTAGTATCCCCTGCACCATTTGATGGGGGATTTAACCAGTGGGTCTGTAGAATCCCGTTTTGCCTTCTGTGTGCTCGTCACACTCACGACTGTCAGCCTTAATCTCAGCTCTTCATCTGACAGAACAATGATTGATGTGTCCCAATTCCAAAAGGGCTCCAACACCCATGAGGGGGGCCACTGTGCTGCAGACGTCTCCCCCAGAAACAATTTTATGGAGCTTTGCCTCTAATGGAATTACAGAGACTGAGCCCATCAAAACATTTTGTCAGGTGAAGTTTGCAGCTTTGTTCTGTGCACGGTTTAAATATTCAGCTTGCTTGTTTTTGCCCTGTGAGTAAATGTTCCAGCATGTATATGGTCACACTTCATACTTTGCCTTCCCTGAGGTGTGAAAATCTGTCAGAAAGTGACAGTGGTGGAAATGGAAACACCCCTCAGTCCTGCCTGTGACATCCTTGCAGTTTAAAAAGTAATAAAGTGTTAGAGGGGGACTGCATCAAAAGTGAGCACAAGGAAACAAGGAAAAAGTAAGGAAGGAAAAGGGGCAAAAGAGGGACAGTAAAAGAAAAGAAAAATGGCTACAGTAAAAAAAAGCTCCGTTGGAGGAAATTCGAGTCATCTGAATGGAAACACTAAAGCAAAGAATCATAACCTTAAATGTTAAAACCATTTAATTGAACTGTTGGCCCTTCATGTGGCAGCCTGAAAAGTCACACTCAACTGGATCTTCACTTCTATATATTTACTTTTTCTGAGCTTTTGGATGAGAGACAAATTTCTTCCAGAATCTAAAGCAGTGGCCTTTGACCTGTAGACAAACCTGGACCTGTGTGACCAAGGACCATCTTAGAATACCTTCCAACTCTAAGATAGCCCATGATAAAGTCGGGTCTTGTGTTAGCAAAGAGCTGTTTATACACCCAGTGGCAGCATCATGATCATACTTTTGAGTGTAATGTTTGAGTTTTAATTCTGGTGGAAATGGGTCATGGAAAAGTCTCCCAGAATCTGTATTTTGAAAGCACTGACTCCATTATCTCATATCCTGTGGTGTATATGGCTTTATGATCACACTTCAATGGACCTGCTGCTTACTTTCACATACACATTCTGTTATATTTACCTTACAGTCACTTTTTAAGACTTGCATCTGTAAGCAATCAAATGTACTGTATGACTGTAAGTCTGCTGGTGACTCGTGCTTCTATCCAAAGTCAGTTTGTTCATCCTTGACTAAACTATGAAATGTGCACTTTAACCAAAACAAGGAGGCTAAAGAGCTCTGTAGAGCTGAGCTGTTGATAATCCCTTAGAAACCATAGTTTACACTGAAGATATTTACCGATATTTACATTTGCTGAGTTACTTTCCACATCTAGCTGCAAATCTCTGTTTCTTTGACTGACACAGTGACCTCCCTCTGCAGTGACTTCCAGAGTAACACCACTGTTCTTCCCCCGTCTCTCTTCAGAGTGGGCTCTTGGCGCTCATCGAGTTACCAGTCGGAACAAGACTGAGATCAACTGCATCACCAACAATGTAAACGAGGTGAGCGAGATGGGTGAGAGGCCCCGGCCGGTGGAAATGACCTGCATATCCCTGAACCACAGTAACTGCCTGAGCTCCAGCAGACCAGAGGAGATAGTGATCAGTGTAGAAGAGACGCTACAGCAGCGACCCCCAGACACTCACTCTGGGACTTAACTCTGAGCTGGGAACCTGCCCTGAGAGGAAAATTAAGCTGGGTATATGCTTGCATTTTTTGTTCAAGTGGATACACAAGTGTGTCATGAATGGAAGCTCTATCCACTGTTTCCTCACCTGCAGGTGACAGTGGGCCAGGTGGGATTTTAAACTGTGCTGGACCACTGGTGGCATCAGACGCTGGCGTCTGTATCTGACTGGACTCCTGTCTGCAAGCAGTCAGAGAGGAAAAAAGCTTTTTAAAAAACTTTGCCCTCAGTGGACTGCCCTGTTTTTCAAGTGGCCCCTTAAGCCTTTAATGTGAAAATATCACTGTTAAGATGAGGCCTGCAGTTCACTATAACAACAGACAATATGTAATCACTTGAAATATACATCACAGGTAGGTCAGTACATATTTAATATTTCAACTAGCAAACACTTCAGTTCAGTCACATCACCAGTTTTTTTATTTTCCTTGATGCTGTGAGACTTGTAAAGTGTCTATTGTAATAACTGCTAAATTGATATGAAGAATGACACGTCTCCTTTTTTGTGTAGTGATGCTGTGATTACTGGGATGTAAGTTCACTACGCAATATTAAAAGTGTTTTGTTATTAGGTTGATGTGAACTAAAGTGCTAAATCACCTTTAAGACCTCTGGTTACACCTGACTGCAAAAAAATCGAGTATAAAAGTATGAAAGCCATTGTTGTTCTGTAAAAACAAAAATCTCTGTTATTTCTGCCGTTGAGCGTTTCTGATTTAGCAGGATCCACCTTTCTGGTTCAGCGTCTAAACATGGCATCACCTCTAAAGCAAAAAGTTTTCATTGCTTCTTCAAGTGTTTAATATTCTTTTGCCAGACTTTCATTAGACTTTATACCTCATTGATAAGGGCTATGTACTGCTGCTGAGACACCTATGGGGCTTATTTTTCTGTGCATGCTGTGATCACGACACTGCACACACACCTGCTGTAAACTGTGGAAGCTGGGAAGATGTGCTGAACAGTTGTGGAGTTAGACTTGGAGATACAGTAGGATTTGTGTCTTGTAGTCAAGAACTATACTTTAAAACTTCTTCTCTGATCACAGACATTCACATGTAACTGGGTGAAATATGATGAACTGGAATTTGAAGTTAGTGGTTCTAAAGTCAGTATAATAACCTGGTGGTGAACTCCACAGCAGTGGATATTTTCCAGATGTGAAATTAATCTCACTCTGCAAAAAATCTTATTTTTGTCACCTCTTTGATGCTGCCAGTCCGTTTTTTCTTTCAAGCGTCTAATAATTCCATCGTTTACTTTGAATGTCTTCTCTCTCAACCATAGCTTGACAAAAAAAAGTTAACTCAGTGTCCACGCATCAACTTTTTCCTGGGCTTTCGACTGAAAGCCTAAAGCATATCTGTGCTACCCTGCTGGTGGCTCAGAAAACAATTCACAAATATATATTTTCATTTTTAAAAGTAATTTACTAAAAGAACCAGATGCTATCGTTTTTAACAAATCTTCTTCAAACAGGATCTAACTGTGCATATGTTGGGAGCTATTTTCAACAGCGGATGAATCCACATTTGGTCTCTAGCCAGTATTAGTGGAAGCAGAAGGGTGTGTGTGTGTCAGAACAAGCTCCAGTGTGTGTTCATGGTGATGAGGAAACATGTCACTCGGTGCAGCAGCAGGGCGCTCGTTGGTGTTTTCAGTGGTTCCCGGACACAGCGGGGCTCTGTGGCCCAGAGGGAGGAGAGACGTCAGGCTATAATACACACACAGGACATTATAGTTTATTGTTGGTTTTGGTCATTTCATAAGATTCACTGACAAAAAGTATTGCTCATGGAAATTCTATGTACAAACAAAATGGTACAGTTTTAATAAATGTGGTTTATTTAAAATTTAAGACATGACTTTATGATAATAGTTTTGTTGGCCTTGAATTAAAATTCACAGTAACAGTGAAGGGTAGTTTAAAATGTCTGTGTAGTTCAAAGGGACAGCAGAATATAAATGTTATTGTCAACTGAGTCCTCCTGAAGCAGTAAAGCGTTAAACTGACATTTCTATATATCACAGCACAGGGGAGAAAACCACTGATGCACAGCTTGAACGTTTTATTGTAAAACTGCAAAATCCACAGATGAAAATGCTGTAACGCAACCTTGAGGATGTTACACTGTGTTCTTCATACATCAACCCTTCTCTCAACAGTTTCCAGTCAGTTCTTCAGTGCAGTGACCAACTGCTGTGAAGATGCAATTGAAATACTAGTATCACAGCGCTCATGTATAATACTACACCAGAAAAAGGACATGCTAACATGCTGAGCTAAGAAGGTGAACATGGTAAATATTATACCTGCTAAACGTTAGCAAGATAAAAGTGTTGTCAATGTGAACATGTTAGCCCCTAGAGGAGAATGTCCAGCACAGGATGTCATTAATCTGACATGCAACTAAACAGTCTAAATTTCAGACCAAAGCACCTCCTCAGGCTGAAGTACTTCTGCCTTCCTGTATTCTCAGGACTAATTCTAGTGTGTTACAAACACTGCTGAGTGTGATTGTTTCCTGTCAGCTGTCACTTTATTTAAAGATGTGCCTGACACAAGATCCAATGAAATGAGCTGCCCAGCCAGGTAACCATCTGTCCTAGCAGTCTACAGCCTGCTCGCTCCGTGAGACCTAGTACCACCTCAGCTGCTTCATTCTCTGTAAGTGAGTGGTGTTAGTTGAAGGTTGTAACCTAGAGCCGAATGGTAGAAAGCTTTTTCTCAGAGCTGAGGGTAAAGTCAAAAAAAAAGAAAGAGTTCTAAGTATCCCGTGGGCTGGCGACTCTGACATCAATAAAGCTGCATTTAGAAAAAAATCATCAATTTTTTTAGCTTAAATTGTGGCACATGCATAATACAAATATCAGTGAGTTAGGGTCTCTGCCAACTGGAAGCCACTTGAATTTGTTACTAATTTCGATGAAACCCAGTAGCACAGACTAGAGTCCTTTTTGGTGCAATGTCCAGATGTATTAAATGCAAATATATTCAGATTAAATGAATTATGTTTGGAGAATGATACTTTATTGACTGCCACTTTCCATGATGCCATGTTGCCCATAAACTATTACAAATATCAAAACTAAATTGTCAACATCTCTGTACATAGTCCTCTTCTTTTACTGTACATTTCAGTTAAAAGATCATCAAATGGTCCAGCATCAGTTCTATTGTAACAGTTTCTAGCCTTGTAAAAATTAATCCTACTTGACTTTGAGAAGAGTTTTAGCAGGTCGTTCTCATTGTTTGTGCTGAAAGAGAGAACACAGAGTGATTGATTATTTCAAAATGTCACATAGGCTTATATTGTGGTAGTGACAACAGCAAATGTTTGATTCTCTAGTGTGAACATGAAATGTTTTCATCCATTAAATCTGTCTGTAACCTTTAGAGCAAACTGCTGTAAGTTGTGTTTTAGAGGAAGAGGAAAATGAGCAGTTAAGATTTTAGTAATTGGTGCTTAATATTCACTTTTCCACATCTTGCACAGAAATTGTAATAATTCAATATGCTGTAACATTAAACCTGCAAACTGTGTATCAAAAATGATAAATGTGTTTAAACATAATAGAGAAACACGATGAGCTATTTACTGTAAAACAGTGCCCTCGTGTGGCCAAACGCCAGAATACCCAAAATATAATAAAAACATTTATACAGAATACCCAAAATATAATATAAACATTTATAGAATATAATATAAATATAATATATTTAAAAGCAGAGATTATTTGTTCATTACGTGTTTTGATGAGCAAAGGAATGTGTTTTTTCTTGACACGTGTGAGCTGTTAGCAGTGGTGGAGGAAGTATCCAGATCAAAACGTACCTGAAAGTCAAAATAGTGCAGAAAAATGTCCACTGTTAGTGATGTACTGTATATGTTCATTGTCAGAGGAAGATGTCAAAGTAACAGTGAAGGAAAGTTATCAAGTTCTGTGCTAGTTTTAAGTTATCTGCGTTTTCCCATTTCAGGTTATTTTTTTCCATTTCACAGTTCATACTTTACCACAGAAGCTAATGCTATACTTTTTACTTCACTACATTTATCAGCATGGGACCTTCTCACGTGACGTCGAACAACTTCCGGTGCTTCTGTCTGGGGTAAGCCGCACTTCCGCTGGTTAGCAGAATCACTGAGTTCATCAGTTGCCACAGACATGAGTGGATGGTTTCAATGGTGTTACTGGTCAGGCCTCCCCTTTAATTAACTATTTGTGATATGGGAAACAGTCAGTGCCGTAATGTAGGCTACTACTGAGGGTGAAAAAGTTACAGTAGTTAGCTAAAAAGCATCTAGATACGTTTGTAGTGCAGTATAGCAAGCACAAGAGGCCGGATATTATGTTCCACGAGACAAGGCTAAATAAAGTCTCTTTTTGAGACAAGGAAAGATATTTCCATTTTCCTATTCCCTTCACCCCCACTGAGTTAGCCCGGGGCTACTAAGGCTAGCTACAAGTCCGCCGTTAGCATGAACACCAGAGGTCTCACAGCTTTAATTATGAGCCACAGATCTGCAAAGGTAACAACTGACATCTTGATCCAAACTCGACAGTGGCTGTAATTTGTTATCGGGTCTATGGCTGCTACCCACTGGATTTTGAAGATTGCTGAAGTATAATCTTCTAAACATTTTTATTTATGCTAAAGCTAGCTTTGCTTACGGAGATAAACTGTAGCAAGTGAGGTGCTAGCTGTCTTTTAGCAACGTGTACATTTTATATAGTGTTAGGAGACTCGTAAGGAATGTTCCTGTTGTAAGATGAACGTCAAGCTTAAATCTCCATTACCATTATTCCACACCAATGGCATGTCAAATTTATAAGAGGACCAAGAATAAGTTGGTTATTTTTTAACAATATATTTATCAATATTCTACTGTTTATCCAAATTTAGGTCGACGTAGAGAATAATTAACCATATTAGTAAGAATTCTTCTCAATCTAACTGATCAGGTGAGACTAAATTGAAAAAGTCTATAAATTAATGGCCTTGACAAATAATTTTTGGCTATATCATCTCTGCTGATTTTCATATCTTTCATTTTTTGTGAAACCGGTAACTTAATAAACTATATGATCTTCTGTGGTATTAAACAAGTTTTTAAAAGAAAAAAAAGTATTTTCATAACTATAAAACACATCCTCTTAGTCAGTTATAGGAAACTGAAGTCAGTGCTTTTTAAAACTTTTCAAGCCCTGCAGATGATTTACAGCTGTAAAAACAACAAAACAACAATTAAATACTTCTGCTACTAATGATATTATGTTATAGAAATAACAACAATAAACGAACGCGTTAAATTCAATTAAGACTAATTATTTATTTTCACGATGTTTTCGGCCCGTCGGGAGTCGGTACCTCTTCCATTTTCTCGGAGCCCACACACGAGCCACAGCCCTGACGTTGCCATAGTAACGGTCCGCTAGGTTGAGGGGACGCCTAGAGCATCCTGTGATTGGTCATTATCAGGGCGCCGTGCTGTCTTAGTCTACCGTGTGATTTGTTACAGCTCCTGTCGCTCATACATACTGCAACGCGTTTGGCCAGCTTCTACTTTCGCGGCCCGCCTCGATGAATATGGTCTTGCAGTTGCACTCAAGCCAGAAAAAAACGAGCTGAGGAGGAGGAGTAGGTAACTAGCGTAACGTAGTGAGCTGACGCTCGGACTGTTTTGAGGAGCAAAAAGTTTTTTGTTTACTCTTGGCCGTTCCTTAGAGATTTGTGTTTATGTGGAATTATACCCAGTTGTGAGAAATGTAGGGACGTTTTGGCCACCGGCGTTTTTGCTTCACGATGGAGGAGCTTGCCACAAGGCAAGTAACAGCAACTCGTTAGCTAATGTACAATAATTTAACGTACCTTTTTAGTTTAGTATTGTCTGCGTGAGAGCTGTTTATTCCATACTTTTTAAAATCAGAGGGTGGTGTATGGTAGGTACGTCTAAACAGTGACGCTTTTGAGTAAAATATGTTGATATTAATTGCTGTCCTCAGAGAGTTTGAGATGTCCTTGTCAGACAGTGTCTCAGAGGAAGATATGCCCTTAACGTTACCCTCAGAGGGCAGCCACAGTGGGAGCATCCGCAAGGTGACACACACACACACACACACACACACACATAACCTACATAGTTTTTCATTTTGGTTGAGATCTGATCATTCTAATTTGCTTGTTTGTGGCGTCAGTTTTGAGTTTTATTAGACCCTGTAGGCTGAAAAGACATTAGGTAGAAGACGTTTAAAGTCTTAACTCTTGAACAGTTGCCTGCAAAATTAAAGGAGGACTGATGTATATTTGGGTCAGCATTAACAACTTTTTCTGTCACTGAATCTTTGTTTCTTCCCTTTCTCCATCAGGGCTGTGATCCTTTTGCCCAGACTCAGCGCAGTAAACTGCAGCACAGACGTGCCTGCATCAACCAGCAGATCAACAAAGAGATGCGCATGAGAGCCGGAGCAGAGAACCTGTTCAGGTAAGGTTCTGGGATGAGCCATGTTTCCTAATTGCTTGTAGGGGTAGTAGCCATTTTCCTGATACAGTTGATTACAGTTAGTTGCATGGCTTGGATATCAAGACTAAAATCTAGATAAAATGAGATTTTTAATTTGTGAAGTCACAGTCAGATAGCATAAGAATGTTAAAATGTTTCTGAGTAGTGGCATCTGTCGAGGGGCTGTTTTGAAATGAGGTTGCATCTCTGCATCACCAGGTTTTGTGAGTGAAGTTACTCTGTATAATGTTGTAAGTTGCATCCTTTGTTGATGGCATTTTGATTTGAAAGGGAAAACATTCTCCTAGACCAGGTTGTAATAGTGATGCTGTGTTGCATGTTAGTTGCTCTTTGTTCATGTGTTGACTCTGTACATTGCGTCCAGTGGTGGGAAGAGGTCAGAGATCACTGCCCTCCTAAATACACACATCAGCACTGCCCAGTTTTAAGGCTCTGTTTGTGTCACTGTGTGAACATGCATGTTTGTGTGCTTTATGTGATGTACGTTTGTGTATCCACTTCCACAGCAGGGCAAATGACTCAAATGAACTGTCTTGGCTTTGTGTCTTTAGGCAGCTGTCATTCACACAGCACACAAGAGTTTCATTGGTAAAGAAATTATGGGAGTAAAAAATGAAGCGGTGGCAGAACATCACAATGTTTTCTCTGATAACGTTAGTATCATCTTAATCCTCTCTAGCTTCTCTGCCTTTGCTTTATCCCACTTTTTTCTTTTTAACTCTTTCTCAGGCTCTGTGTGGTTATTATCTATTAGATGACTGCGGAGGCTGAAGGTATGCATTTAATGTACAGTATATGTGCATACCTTTGATTAACACTTTTGATGCAACAGTTTTGAGAACATTTACAACATGAATAGCCCACTGTGTAAAACTTGCTGCCAGTCCCTCATAGAGATTCAACTTGGGAGTAGAAGGGGGAGCCATTTAATTAAAGCAAAGAGAAGCAGTAAAACAGAATCTAATAAGCTCAACACAACACTAACTATCTCTAATTAAAAGACAACCAAGGGCACCCCTCACTATTATCCCAGGATGTATTCAGCTACAGCTAATTGATTCTTTTGTCTGACTGGATTTGAAGTTATTTAGTTAACAAATGTATAAAACGAGCTGAAATGATCGTTTGATAAACTGATCAGTCAGTAGCCAGAAAGCACAATACTCAAACATTACCTTGTTCTAGCTTTTTAAAAGTGATAATTTACTGTTTTTATGTGATAAGGAACTGTTGGGTAGACAATAATTTGAAGAAATTGTGTTAGCTTTAAGGAAACTATGATGAGCATATATTGACCAATTTCTGACATTTACAGTTATTTTACCCCACATACATGTTTGACTAGATTCAGCCAGTTATCCTAAAAGGTGATGACTCAGTTTATGGCAGAATAAAACAAGTGCTCCTACCCTTTCTATTGGGCTAGCTGGTCACAGAGACAAAGAGGACCACCACATGGCCTGCCGGCCTGTAATCAGCAGGCTTTGTGTCCGCCTCCAGTCCTGCTCCCATGCAGAGATTCCCAGCAGAGCCCTGAAAAGCTCATCCCCCACTTATTTGTCTGGCACCGTCAGACCTTTTTTATTCTGTCCTCCCCTTTTCAAGTCAACTAGAAGAGTCTGTGCACATACAACACATCTCGCTCTCATTTCACTCACTGTGAACCTTCTGTGGAACTAGGTCATGGTGTGAGTGCTGGTGGGTGGGAGGTGATGGGAGGTCAAGATACTAATTACAGATAAACGAGGGGTTTTAACTCATTAGGGCTTGTGATTGGCCGTTGAAGACGTCATGTTGTGTGCCGTGGGGGGTGTTGGACAGTGGTTAAATCCTGCTCTTCCCTCATGTAGTTATGTATGATATTATTGACAGGACTTGTCAGCTTCTCTGATACTCCTTGTCTTTTAGTCAGTTTACTCACTGAGTGAAATGGTCATATTTCTGGCCCTAAAGCTGCAGAGTGTGGTGTGTGTGTGTGTGTGTGTGTGTGTGTGTGTGTGTGTGAAGGGGGTATTTGGCAGCCCATTAAAAGCTGACTAATCAGATTGCCCTTGGCTCTGTTCTAGATAGAGGTGTGTGTGTGTGTGTGTGTGTCTGAGAGAGACAGAAATGGAATGACAGATAAAGAAAAGGTAATGTGGTCTGACTGAACAGATTAAAATTATTTATAAGAAGCTCAAAGCTGAGTTTCAGCTGCTGTTTGAGCCAAGGTTGGTCATGTGTTTTTCTTAACCAAAGATGACATTTTTGTCTATTTATGTGTATTATTTCTTCCTAAGTCAGTGCTGTTTTGCAGCCATCTTCTTTCCTAATCACAGATTTCTGGAGTCCTCTTGACCTTGTACGTTCCCCGTTTGTGCTTTAGACTCACACAGCTCAGTTGTTTCATTATCAGTGAATTTTAATGGTTGCATAATTAAGGGGATTTCTTACGCCACAACTATATCATCAGTCACCATGGTAATCCAGTGACACCTCAGGTTTCCAAGAGCTCAGTGTGTTGTTGATCTTCGCCCCCACAGCAGTGCGAGCTGGCTTTGCTCAGCACTGAGACCCTCCCCAGTGTTTGGAGGTAGAGGGGAGGGTCTTGGGCTGAATGAAGAGAGGGGGCTGCATAAATTAAATACAGGCCTCTTGTAAAAGAAAAGTCCACTGCTTAGTGCAGTTTTGGTTTCTGCAAGATTTACTTAGGTGCATTAATTCAGATTAACACCCACAAGTGTTTTTCTGTGATGTCTGGACACACACACGAAGTCCAAGTACAGTGCTAATTAAGGTTTAGCTGAATGATGGCAAATTTTTTACTACACAAATATCAGATATTTGAGTGTATTATCAAATTCAAAGCTATTCTTTTTTCATTTTCACATTCAATCAGCAACCCTTAGCGACAAAAAACAAAGTAGTGGAGGAGAGCTGCATAACCGGTACCTGACGTGTACATAAAGCATCAAAGGGAGGACTGTTTTTTGTTTCAGTCCCTGAATTTCTGTCAGAAATGATGATATGACATTAGAGCTGTTATGATTCAGGGCTGAGATGAATTATTATCTATTAATCTCTGATTTTTAAATCAGCAGACTTTTATTTTGTCACAAAATAGTGATTGTTGCCCATTTCACTTGATAAATCCACACGTCTGACTTTTCTGTTGATCTACTGATTAGCCAATTAATAATCAAAGCACTAATATAATGCTTTCTATTATATTAATAATAATTGTAATGTTGACATGCTGTAATCTCATTCAAGCATAGCATTGCTTCCTGATTTGTGTATGTGTTATTGTGACAGTATTACAGTTTCTGCAGTAACCACAGTGTTGTTTTAATAGCTAAGCTCTTAACTGGTGTTGAATTTTTTGAGTGCGGACTACAACACTTTCTGGTTGGTTAATACAAGAACTGAAGCTAAAGCAGCAATGCCAATAGGAGCAAATGAGGGGCTGCACATTGAGTTTACTGTAGAGCTTAGTTTCTGGCCTGATTAGAGAGCTAGTTTTTTGGTTTCAGAGGTCGGCGTGTCTGTCATGTTGGTGACTGAACTATCTTCTGCTCAATGGCAAAAACAGTGATTTGCCTTTTTAAGTTGGTAGCATGCTGACTTTGAGTTTTGTTCATGGCTGTGATCTGATGTGTGTGTTTTGTTCTGCAGGGCGACAACCAACAACAAGGTCAAGGAGATGGTGGCTCTGGAGCTCAGCTTTGTCAACTCTAACCTGCAGCTGCTCAAAGAAGAGCTGGAGGACCTCAACAGCAACATGGAGGTCTACCAGCCTGACAGGTCGACAGACACACACAAATCATGGCTCATTTATTTTGCCCCATGCATTCCAGGTCACACTTGTCAGTTTGATGAGGATTACGGTATAATGGACGAAAACAAGCATCTGTTACAGTTTTCTGTTTATACTGTGTGTATGTGCTCTTGTACTTCTATCATCTTTGTAAAATTACAACTTTTTGTCTGGTTCTCAATTGTTCAAATGACTGTTAGAGGGTTATTAAGACTAAAAACTAAGATGTTAGAATTAGGTTTCACTTGAGGTTACTGTATTTGAATTAGGTCACTGAGGGTTCTCACTAGTATAGAAGAATCAACATACATGTTTGTGTGTGCAGTATGTCACCGCCAGATTTTCCCCCTGTGCAGCCTTGGCTCATGGGAGGGATAAATCCCCTGATTATTAGTGACCCCCTGGCGTGCGTGTGTGTGTGTGTGTTTGTGACTGCGGGGGTGTCAGGGCTGTAAGGGTTAATGCTCAGCTTTACAGAAGCTTTGCTTATTAGCACAGTGGAGCCGTGAGCAGCTGGGTTTGAACACAAGCAGATGGCAATATTGACTTGATCATGGCTGGAACCTGTACAATGTGTGTACACGCATGCACACATGTACTGTATTTATTTCTGTTCACAGTGATGCTGTCAGCGTTCCCCTGATCCCACTTGGCCTGAAAGAAACCAAAGAGGTGGACTTCACTGTTTCTATCCAGGTGAGCACAGCATCTGCCTCCTTCATCTCATGTATCTGAAAAATGTACGAGTCTAAGTGAAACGGTGAATCATGTGATATCAAATATTTGAATTAGGTAAAGGACAATTATTGGGCTTAACTTACAAACAAGGTTCGAATCTCGGTGCCTGCAGTCCATATGTCTGATGGTTAGAGCCATCGGTTGAAGTGGCGCCGCAGATGGCTGCCATCGGTTCTGTACCGGAAACAAATCCCTTGTGTGTAACATACTTGGCCAATAAAGGTGATTATCCTTATTCTTATCCTAACACTGTTTCAGCTTTGATGCTCGTTTCAGACTGTGGACAGATAAAGTTTTTTCCTTCTTTTAATTGAGTGAACAATTATAAAAAGTTATATCATTAATGCTGCTTATGAAAACTACCTTTATGTGCCAGAGCTTGATTTCACAGTTTATGCTGTGAAAGCAGTTAAATTTTATTTGTATAGCACCAAATCAAAACAAAAGTCTAGACCTTACTTATTATTATTGTTATAAAGGAAAAACCCAACAAATCCACCTTGATCAGCTACTTACACAAAAAGAAAACCAATTGTTTTACGTGGTTAAATCTAGTGAATAAATTTAAACTTGATGTGATAAATCACATAGGCCAACACAAAAGCTCAAGCAGCCTTTTTTTTCCTACACTGGTATCTTTCGTCTTAGTTTTCTAAAGCTATTGATTGAGTTTGTAGCTGCATAAATTCCTCAGTAGTTTGTTTCAAATAACATAAAATTAGTACCTGCATACAAAGGCTTTTAGCTGCTGTGAAACAGATTTATCATTGTGTGTCTCCCCTTGCAGGACTTCATCTATGAGCGCTACAGAGAGGACGGCTCGCTCTATGACAAGGAGATCAAAGAGCTTATGGAGCTCAGACAGGTTAGTAAAGTAGACTCGTACAACATTCTGGTTCTGTGTTACATCTGTTTTTATTGAACTGTTTGTAGAAAATCTGTGCACCTCCTGTCAGAAGTAGAAAAGCGATTTACATAAATAGAAAAAACTTGAAAATAGGAAACTGATAACAGGAGTATATTTATTTCTTGTCTTTGGGCCAGGCCATGTGTACTCCCAGTCGTAACCAGGCTGGTCTGGAGCTGCTGATGGAGTACTACAACCAGCTGTACTACCTGGACCAGCGCTTCTTCCTTCCTCACAGGAACCTGGGTGTGCACTTCCATTGGTAGGACATGAGCACTTGTCCATTTATAAGCTGTGGGTTATTACATTTGCAAAACCTGTAGTTTGGCCCATATATAGAGAGAAGTTAATATGTAGAGAAAGTGTAACATCAGCAGTCTGTTACACTTAGTAACAGTTGCATTTTGTGAAACACTCCACTGTTTTATTACAGGGGCAGTTCTGTGATTGGTCAGGTTGAGATGATGAATTCACAGAAGCAGCTACTGAATGTCAGTTTAACAGGAAACTCACAGGCCATGAGGCGTCACACCCTGATCTTTATTTTTGTATCAGAGAGAAACGATGTTAAACAAGTTCACAAAAGTGCATTAGTGAAGCTCCAACAGTAATTGCCCCCTCTAGTTAACATAAATTACACGGGAGTCCTGACTTGATATTGCAATCCATTTTCAGATTTACAACAGTCACATTTCAGTTCACATCGTTCCACAATGCATTGTTACACCCCTAATTTGTATTAAGACAAAAAGCACAGCCTCAAATTTCTTAAAGCGCAGTGCTGGTTTGATACTGTGAGCTTTATTAGACACATTAACAAAATCAGACTTTCACTGTGACAAATACAGTGTAGACAGGGTCCGATTTTTGTTGTCATCGCTGTGCTTCACCAGAGTTTCAGCCTTAATTTGAATGTCTTTCCACTGCTATGATGAGTTCAGGAAGTGTTGCCCTTTTTACACACAGATCGTGCTGTGATGAGTGAAGTGTTGCCCTTTTTACACACAGATCCCAGTGTAATTTCATCCCTCTTTACATGTTCCTCAGGTATGACTCTCTGACAGGCGTCCCGTCGTGTCAGCGTGCACTGGCCTTTGAGAAAGGAAGTGTGTTGTTCAACATTGGTGCTCTGTACACACAGATTGGAGCACGGCAGGACCGCTCTGCTACAGCTGGCATAGACCGAGCTATAGATGCCCTCCAGCAAGCTGCAGGTACTGAGACAACACACGACACACACCTGAATGTTTTGACAGCTTTGCTCACTTGTTTTTGTCAGACTGCACAATTAGAGTATCCAAACATAAAAAAAGCACAGTTTTACACAAATGTCCTATTTCACAATGAGTAGGGAGTAAACAGTACGCTGCATTCTGGGAGTTTTTTGGGGACTCCCAGCAAATTGACAGCAGTAAGACTAGAGAACTTAGTAGCACTGAAAGAGACCGATGTGAGGGGGTCTTCTCTGCAGGGGTCTTAGTGTGTCAAGTTCAGAATCAAAGAAGTGTTTTATTAAAAGGTCAGTGAAGTTAGAGACGTGATAACACTGGTGTAGCTAGCTTATAACTAGCTTCTGTCAGCATCTGTTTGGAGCTCTAGCCAGTTTGAAATATTAGTTTATTTAAGGAATCTTACAACTTATGACATGCTCGGGTTAACGTTATCTACTAGTGTGACTGTCGAGCTGTTCTTTTTGTGTTGTGCATAGCTGCAGTGGTATGTAGTTCATGTAATGTTTATATGTATTAATTTATGGCTGTATAATGATATAAAAAGAGAGGCTAGAACCATAGAATGCTTCATATTTTGCTTGGGGAAAAAAAAAAAATCTAAATTGTTGATTCATTTTCTAGCAGTTAACAGTTACTTTGCCAAACAATCATCTCTCTTTACTGTCTCGTTTTATTACATTATTGTATAATTGTTTTGCATTTGACATAACTTACTGTATGATATTCTACATCTATAACCATGTTCCTCTGTGTTTAGGTGCATTTAACTACCTTAAGGAGAATTTCTTCAACGCACCGAGCCTGGACATGAGTGGTCCGTCACTCTGCATGTTGGTTCGGCTGATGATGGCCCAGGTGCAGGAGTGCGTGTTTGAGCGTGTCACACTCACCACTCAGGACACAGACTTTGCCTCCCAGCTCTGCCTGGCACAAGAGGCTGCACGGGTGAGTGCACACATCTCTGGTTCTGTGGAAAGCCAGTGTGTAATTTACACCTGCAATCACGTCGTTTGCGTGTTGTCAATGTGTAAAGTACACGTTAACATGTAAACAATACATTGACAACATGTTAAAAGTTGGCTATGGTTCCTGTTGACACCCTGTGATTCTCACCCTCTATGCGCATGTGTGTCCTGTAGGTGTCAGACATGTACCTGTTAGTGCAGCAGGCCATGACGCAGCCTCTGATGAAAGACTATGTGCCGTTCTCATGGGCATCCATGATCCAGGTCAAATCTGAACACTTCCGTGCACTCTCACACTTCTACGCTGCTGCAGCACTCTGTGACCAGACCTGTAAGTGAAACACACAAGTCATTTTATTACACTCAGCAGGCAACCTCATGGCTTACCCTTGGACTAGGTTTACTCAAGAGAATTCTTTGTGCATCTACACATACCTGAAGATT